GGCATCCCCTATTTAAAAATAGTCTGGCGAAGCCCGTGTACAAATGACTCCGATCTATAGCACTTATAGGCCCACTCTATCAGTTTGTGGCACCTAGCATGTACATACATGTATGTAAAAATGGAGTTGTCAACGGAAGACATCAACGTGGAAATGGCCTTCGGGTACACACTGTATAGCTAAGTCTGTCGTCGCGGTCCGCAACCAACTGACACTTGATTAAGATTACTTTACCAGGTGTTTAACACAGGCAAATAATCGATGTAGAGTAATACTCTACATCGATTATTTGCCCATCGGTAACTTGTTGGAGCATAGAGCATGGTTGGAGACAATGCTAAGATACCGACATGTGGATATAACCTAAGACGCAGTGTCACAGGCGTATCCTGGTCATGGGCCGGGGCCGGGGGGAGGCAATGTGAAATTTTCTTCACAAAAACGACTGTCCATTTTTTAACAGAATCAAGATTTCCTCCACCCCAAAAGAAATATGTGAATACCGTACATGTATAAGCTGCTTTGTAGAATAATTTTTAAAAAGAATCAAATGGTAACATGCGTCAGGGAGCAACCTGCCACCTCCCCATGCCACCCCCACCGGATACACCTCTGCTCAGTGGACCTATCCAATAATGGGATCCATCAGATAACATACCATGGCAGGGGTGCCATGCAGGCAGAGCTACATGCACTATGTAGATACCATACCATAACCAACTGTGGAGTATTTTTTGGGCCCAACTCACTCGCACTGTTGCAGGTTTGGTGTATGAGATATCTTGGATGATTTTCTCTGTTCAGAGTGAAAAGAAACAGTGTGGCCTTGCTAGTACCTGTAATCAGAATAAAGCTTGAAGGTGCAAAGAGTTTTGCTTGGCTGCGTATCTATAAGGCATTTTCCTGTACCCACAGGAAATTCAATTCTTGTGTGTCGTGTAGGTATGCACACGCCTATATCTACACGTCAAGTCATGATAACGCCAAAAAACTAAAACGAAACCCAACTTGCTAGATAGTACAGGAATGTTTTTCTTATCACGTACATGTAAACGAACCAGGAAGAAAGCAAAATATATATAGGCCTATCCCAGATTCAGCAAAACTGGCAGTCACATTGATTTAATAACTTGTTCTTGGTGCTTTTGTAAATGGTATTTTGTCAAGTACAGAAATCTCTGAATTTTGGTAGGAAATTTGTGCGCTTTTTAGGAATTTTTTTAATGTTTTTCCGTCCATTTCACATTTTAATCAAGTTGGTATTTGATGGATTGTAACTGGAATAATGATTGTATTGTCTCGACTATTTTTTTTTTTTTGGATGAATTTGGTTTTGATATTTTTAACTGTTGTCATTTTCACTGTAATTTGGCCTTCGGTCACGAGAGCGAAAAAAAAAACCAACAAACAAATGCCGGACCCAATGAGATGGCGTAGTGACGATTGAGCTTGGGCCCATTCGGGCAGCCGTTTGTGGCGGGAAATGCTGGTTGCAAAAACGACCTCTGCGAAGAATGGAAGTTTATCGGTACTTTGCGCGCAGTCTTTCTGTTGTATAGTACCGTAACAGACATTAGATTTAAACGAATAATACATGTACGGTTATATCGGACGAAATATATCAATTATCTTCCACAGTATTCTCGAAAACAGGCCTCTGTTGAAAATCATTGTTATGTTTTAAATATGCTTGAAATTCAACCATGAATGTGGAATATTGGATTGCTTCCGTCTGTTGCGAATGTTTCCGTCATTTCCGTGAAATCGTGTTTCCTAGGGTATAAATCTGAGAGCATGGAAAAATATTGGGATTCCATTCAACATGTTCATGAGTGTCGCAACAAACGCTAATTTATCGTCGTTTCTAGTAATTTAAATATACCGAAGAGGCCATGTTTAGTGGGAATAAACAGGATGCAAAACAAGCCTGAAACAGCACGCAAAATAATGACGAGTGCCAACATATAACAAACTATCCAGACAGCTACTTTATAAACCATAATGTGCTCGGGTCCCCCGGGATTAGGTTATGACCCGGTTAACGCTCGTTGGGGAGCATTCTTGCTCCTTCCTGAAATGTTTCCGTTTACACATCTGTGAATTCATATGCAAAGAGGTGACAGTTTGTACAGGTGGGACGTCGCCTCCAGTACACACAATGTAACTACGCGTAGGCTAGGGTGTCCACGTACATGTGTACATGTAGGCCTAAGCCTCTCTGCATCGAACCGGCCAAACATGGCCAAAACCCTAGCTGACTGAACCAGATTCATAACAGCATATATAGGCCTATAATGCTGACATGACAGTCATTTTGACTTTACCTCTTCTCGTGTGTCTGTTTAGCGCCTAAGGTAGGCTTACAGCTCTCCGCCTCCATTCAACGCGAGCCCCGGTCACGGCGTCTGCGCTGCGGGCTGTCGTGTCGTGGTTCTGTCTTTGGGTGGAAAAACGCCAGTTTTCAGTTGTAACAGGACAAAAGAAACAGGAAACCAGATCTATTTAAGCAAACGGGTACGGGTAGAACTGCACGGGATGCCATGCAGTTCTGTGAGGCCAGTCGGGCAATATAGTCACGCTCGAGTTAATCAATTTATTGAGCTGGGCTAGACATGTAAAAATCCTTGAACTTCGAGCTTTACTACGATCGGTACGGTAAGCGCCAAATGAGGGCGCGCTACTTGAATAAAAGTTCCCTGACCCCTAGACTGGTTCTCTGCATAGACTGTATGCAGTCCTGCAGACTTAAGGTTGCACAAAACACCTAAATAATACGCGCCTATAGGGTGCACCGCAGCAAATATTTTCCCATAGACAGCAGTGATAAATCCCCATACTTCACAGATAATATTTGTGAAGTATTATTTTAAAAATACTCACAACTCTCACAGGCGTTCAGGCTGCACAGAACAATGATGTTCCACATGACTTTGTCCTCTTTCATTTTCCTTTCACTTTTTTAGTGGGTTGACGGATGAATTTTTGAGAAATTTTCACCCAACTTGAACCAGACCAGCCCTAAAATGAAGAACATTTCACTGCCTGGGAAAGTAGCACTCCTCTGTAAAATGGCTCAAATAGTGCCACTTTCGGACCCGATTGCATCCAAATTGCTCAGAATTGGAAGCCCTGAGTCCGGCCCAGTAGTTCAGTGTCATATTTCTTCCATTCCCCAGTTCCATGGCTCTCAGGACCCTCTAATATAGAATATTTTGAGTATAACTTTTATTTATGAGCTCGGCGGACATATTTCTGGCCTAAATACGAGGGTGCGGCACGCTGTAGAAAGCAGTACAAAATCAAACCGAAATAGCGCCGCCTGTTGACTCTCGCAGTGAAGAGGTTGGCCTTCGTTTTTTCACCAGAAATTCAAGATTATGGCCAGAATATCAATTTTCGTTTCAATTTTTTGGAAGTTAGCCCGAAACAATTTTGTTATTCACCTTTCCCCGAAGATACTACCCCCAAAATAGCAGTAAAACTATGCGCTCAGCTCTGAGTGTAGCCGCCCGCCGGCAATCCAAAACTTGGGCCCGCAATTTAGGGCTTTTTCAACTTGTAAAGTTGGCATGTCTTATTGTAAACACCCCGTAGGAGCAGAAATACAACCATTTGGTGGAACTAGCACCCTTAAGCTTCCTGGACTGAAGGTCACGGCAAGTTAAGTGACAAATGAACTCATCAACACTCATCAACCACACTTGCTACCATTCATTCAAATATGCTTACTTTCAATCTCACCGGATCCGTCGTTCTGCAGATACTAACTTCTGGCCTGCCAAGAGTGCACGGTCGATCGATCAGTACACGTTGTCTCACATTATGACCGGCGCATGAATATAATTAATATTATGTAATGATGCCAATGATTTTTGTCAGTAACACGTACACTCCTGACTACACTTGTCCTACAGATAATGGCCTATCAAGGCTACACCTATAAAGCCAATTAAGGGACACATGGATACTCACAATTAAGACATAGCGATGTACATGAATTGTACCAATAACACTCGCTGCCTGCAGTTTCAACTATGTTCATTTGATCGAATAATTATGAGCTTTGAATATCGCGCCTTTAACCCCATAAGAGCCGGAGCAGAACCCGCCCCTCCCCTAACATTTTTTTCTGATATCACTACAGTGCTTTTTTTCGGGGCTCAGACTTAAGCACTTTTTAGAGTAGCTCTTTGCCGTTATTTTTAAACCAATTGTGTGAAAATCAAACATACTGTTATAGCGCAGCGCCCATTTTCCCGAGAGAGGTCTGCTAAAAATGTATAGGCCTACTTTTTCCACTGTGTAATACTGCCCATCAATTACGGTTCCGAACGTAACCAAAAACCGTATGTCCAATTGAGTTTGAACTTCATGATAAAGGGAGTTCTCACATACATACCAAGTTTTAAAACCCGGATGTGGCAGAGTCGAGTTCTTTGTGGGGGGGGGGTCTGTCCCCTTCGGCCATGAGATGGGCCAAAATATCCCAGCTCTTCCATGGTTAAAGGGTACGTTTCACATAATTATTATATTACATATTATATTGTTAACTTCCAGATGTGCCATCCGTAGCACATCTCTCACTGAAAGCGTGTATTTAGATACATGTAATTCCTGGGGGATAATATCAAGAAGCCTTTCTCATGTACATGTAAGGCGACTCCCTGGCCGAGCCAGCTATCCGCATTCAAGAAGCACCCCCTCATCGGTTGAAAGGAGACAGTTTGGTGGGGAGCGTTCAATCGAACGCCATCTTGTTTGTTGCGACGCGTTTGGCTGCTGTCTATCTAGGCCGGCCGAGGCTGCCCTTTTGCAGTATTTGTCATGTTTGTGGGCGCATTCTTCAGCATTTCATCATCACTCCAAGCCATCTTGCTAAAATCGTCGCATTTCATTTGAACGGGACAAGAACTTGAAGAAGGCGCGAGAATGGCCGATTCATCATCGTCACGGTCATCATGTTCATGGCAAATCAAGTCAAAATGCGCCATGCTTGGGTGCTCTCACAATCGAAAAACTTGTCCAAGTGGTACATTCTTCCGCTTTCCCATGAAATCAAGTAAGCGATTGCAACTATGGACAACTTTATCAGGAAGGTTGGGTCATCACAGGTGAGTACCCTTTCTTTTGGGCCCGATTTCACGCCGCTGCTTACTCAGTTACTGTTAACTTCAGCAAATTTTTAGTGACCACCAGACCACTGCTGCAGCTAATCAAAGGCTTAACTAGGACATGAGCGAGGGCGCTGTTCATTTGGGCACTCATTTTCTTCATTAGGAAAAACGTTGTAACTAAAATTTCAATTTCAAATATGATTTGTAAAATTTCAAGCGAAGCCAGCATTTAGTTCATTGGAACAAGGCACGAATAAGAATAAACATTGTCTGGAAATGAATGCAGGACCTAAGGCCAAACAAAAAAATAGCAGTGTTTCTGGCACAGACATATAAACGCATAGACCGCTGGTCTTGTGCGTATAACTGTGATTTTGAAAAGTATGGGCAAACACTGAGTGAAGCGAAGGATGGCAGCACGTCCAATGCGCATCGTGCGCAACGCACTTACACTGCCTGTATTTGTTTGGGTGTACATGTGCTCCCAAAATGCGCTCACCCTTTTTGCTCTTCGGTACTGCTATCTCTTCTTTTCAGATGTTGCCACTTCATTGTTTTGAATCCCTAGGGGCCAGATTAAGTAAACAGAGGGTTTTTACAATTGAAAAATTTTATGACTGGAATTTTTCAACTATGCATAAATTCCCTATACTTGGGGTCAAATTTGCCCATAGTTTTGATTTTAGTCGGGTGCCGCGCAGATCACAAAACCCCCCGTAGTTTTGAAAAGGACCTTGCGGTCTATGCATTTATGTTCCCGGTTACCCGACCCAACCTAGAAAATCACACAAAACCTATATCTTTTTATTTGACAAATCAATAAAATATAAAAACTTATGGTGCCTTGCCCTGAGCCTCATTTCGTGTACATCATCCTGTACTGACGTTGTATTGTTGTAATTTTGATTTTGCATGAGATGGACGGCTCTTGTGTGTTTGTATTTCAACAACCAGCTACTTTACTACTCACTCACAATGCTGATATGTAATATTGACGTGCACATGTACAGTAATGAATCTGACACTGACTTAGTACACGTACCTGTTACAAATATACACTGTACGCACCCCCCCCCAAAAAAAAAGAAATACAGACCATCATCAGACCCTAATTTTTTGGGCTATAAAAATGTAGAGTAAAAAAAATATTTTGCCCAAGCAACCAACCTATTTTATTTTTCAGCATAATAGGAAACTAAACCAAGTTTTTGTTTGGCCTTAGCTTTTCAGTCAAAATCCACACTCATTTACATGCATGTGTGCAAAAGAAGTCAAAGTTTGCTCTGCATTACTCACGTAAACACACATGTACCGGGTACAAACTCATCCCAAAACATCCCAAAATGTCCCTGCTTTAAATCAATGTATACACGTATTCCTTTGCTTTTCAGAGTCCAATGGAATCCAAACCTAGATGTATTACATTAAAATGTTTCTTATGACATCTTCTCCAAGTTCACTTCGAAAGCAAAACAGAATTCAACAAATAGTTGAAAAAAAAGATGGCGTTCTTTATCTTTAGCACCCTGTTCCTAGTAGAATAATAAGGAAACAAAGTCCTTTTTTTTTCATTAAGAAAGACTGTTGACCTTGAGCATTTGTTGCTTAATCCTAACAGCTCAAGCTAAGGTGAACTTTTCATGTTTGGACAATGTTTAAGTAGAGAACACAGTTTGCCTGCTTTTGTTGGTCAATGTGGTCACACTATTTTGTTTGAACTCAGCTGACAGGGCCTTTGGAGGCACTTCACCGTCTAGTCTGGTTACCAGAACCACGGAGGAATCCCTCCAAGCTAGAAAGTCTGTGTATTGTGATAAATACAAAGATTCATCACTGACAATTGATAACAAATCTTCCTCCAGGTGAAGGAACCAACTTTACAAATTTGTTCTTTAGTTTTGTTGACACCTCTTGGTCATGTACATTAACGTTTATCCCATGATTTCCCTCAAAATCTAGGATATCATGGCCAACATACTTGTACCGTATCTAGTTGAGTTGTTTTCTCAGAGTAGACTTTGTTTCCTTAACCCTAACCCCCCCCCGGTTGCTGACCCTAACCTTCCCCATTCACACAAAGTTAAACACCCATATGGGACTTTGTGCACAGAGATTGTTGGACTTTGTTTTTCTGAGTTATGCCAAACCCAATGCAAAAGCCAGCTGTCATGGGCCTACCAGACCTATCCCCACAGAATTAACCACTTTACTACTGTTTAATTCTGTGTGGTTGGGGAAGGTTAGGGTTAAATAAGAAGAGAGTGCCAACAAGGAACACCAACATGACATGTATGATAAACTCTGCTTAACCCTAACAGCCCTGAATCCTCCGGTTAATCACGGTGGGCCTAAGCATATTTCTACCCCCAGAATTGTGGGGTAAGGGTATTTGGGGTCATAATCAGATGATTGCTACTTCTGAAAACCAAAAGCCACCTCCCTGTGCCTCCCAAGCCCTTTTTATTTACACAGGGTCGTATTAACACGAGGTCTGATCTGTTCTTTCGAATACACCCTCTGATTACTGGTGACACATTGGGTGATACAACTTCCAATTTCTCAATCAATAAAAATTTCCGCATGAGAGCAACCGTGAGGTGCCTAGCTCTTTGAACCTTATCACAGTGGTTTTAGACCAAAACTTATAAGACTGACCAATTCGTGAAGAATTGGTAGTTTTTATTCAACAATCTCTCGATTGTTTATTGAGCTAGCAACTAGAAGGACAAACATTGAGAGAATCATTTAATTTATTGAATTGTTAGCATTTCCAATCCTAGTCAAACAGCTTGGTTGTCATGAGGCATTCAGTCAACATTTCTCTTTTGCCTACTGAGTGACCTGTGTTAATTCTGTTTGCATTCCATGAAGGCGTGATGGCTCCCTGTGGAAACCAGGTAACTCCAGCCGAATGTGTGCCTGCCACTTTGAGGACGGGAAGAAGTGCAATGACCCCACCTTGAACACCGGAGCCGACTACACCAAGGAGGTCACCGAATACAAGACTCAGGTATCTGCTCATACGCCAGTGGTGTCCGCTGATCACTGCTACGTCTCGGGCAGTCTGATATTGAAGAAGAAAACCAGGAAGAAGCGCGTGCACCGACAGATTCAGGTCGATTTCCCTGAACAGGATACATGCTCATGCCCAGGAGCCCATGCCCGCAATGTCGTCCGCACCGTGTTTTGTTCCATGACGGGCACCGAGGCCGGTACCCAGACCTCTTTCCACAAAGAGCCCTGCAGCCGGCACACAGAGACAAGAGACCGGCGCGTGGGACCCGATGCCATGGGGGAGAGCCTCCGGTGCACGAGAGGATTCCACGGGTTCGACGGCTCACGAGCGGGGCAAGAGAAAATTCACGACCTGACTGGCATGCAGCCAAGTGTGTTTTTCCTCTTACTGTCACTGCTGCCGGCGAAGTCAAAAGGAATGAGCTTAGAGAATTGCCTGCTGTTGTTCCTGATGAAATTACGATATGGTTTGCCGTTTACATGTCTAGGAGTGATTTTTTCAGTGTTTAGAACAACGGCCTCCAGAGCTTTTAATTTTGTGCTGGAAAATCTATCCAGAGCGACACACGACTGGATTATTTGGCCGTCAGCACAAACAGTCCGCTCTATGGTACCGTCTTGCTTCTCTGAGTACCCAAATGTCAGGTGTATTATCGATTGTTTGGAATTTAAAACAGAGAGACCGCCAAGTGGTGAGGGACAGGCGCTGATGTATTCCCACAACAAAGGAACATACACCTGTAAAGTTTTGGTCGGTATTTCTCCTCACGGATTGATTTCGTTCTTGTCCGAGGCATTCCCAGGAGGAACAACAGACAGTCAAGTCGCGACAGAGTCCGGTGTTCTGGATTTGCTCGAGCCAGACGACGTTATCATAGCCAGTCAAGCATTTCCGGAAATCGGAGCGGAAGTTCCTGGAGGAGAGGCGATTGTTGTTCTGCCTCCGTTTACCGTTCCTCAGCAGCAATTCGCGGGCGAAGGCGTCCAGTCTACGGGTACCTACAAAGTATCCCCCATGAGGGTACATGTGGAAAGAATCGTACACAGGATTCGATTCTGTAATATTCTCAATGCAGCATTCCCTCGGGAACTGCTTCCATGCGTCAATGACATTGTGCGCATTTGTGCTGTGTTGGCAAACCTGCAGAGTCCTCAAATCCAAAAATGAGATTTTTACAGTTTGAAAACGGTTTTTATTTATTTGGTTCAATGTACTGATTAGCACACCCTTTGGAACGCTTAAAATTGTTTATGCTTTCCCAGACATCCGAAGGTGTTGCTACCTTGACTTTGTTTTCAGTTTAGTGGGTGGCACTACTTAAATTGTAAGTTCCAAATAATGTTCATTGAAGCATTTCTGAGGTATGATCGGCTCACTGGGTTACTCACTAGCAATATTGTCATGTACGTGTACTTGAATCACAAAGATTGAGAGATTCTGGGGCAGCAGAATTTTTTTGCAACACTTTTTTTGGCCTAGAATATAGAAGTTTGCATTGACAAACCAAAAACACGACGTGTAAATTATTGACACTAGAATAAAACCAAAATGGAAGATAGGATTAATTAGGACTCTCAGGTGCACTTGCAGTGATTATTTTTGGAAAAAAAGCACATTGCACATTCCCGTTGGATTTGAAGTGAACTGACACGTACAGACTTACGGTGCACTTATTTCTTCTTAAACCTTTGACATGTTTGACATAAAATTGTTGCACGGGAGAGTCAGATACATGTAAGAGTCATAATCAACGTGGATTAATGCACCATAATGGAAATCTCCGTTTTCTCTACAGATTTGAAAAGGTCTTTAAAAGTTTTTAACCCTAACTGCCCAAGGGTTGCTGGACCTGACCTTCCCCATTCACACAAAGTTAAACACCCATGTGGGACTTTGTGCACAGAGGCTGTTGGACTTAGTTTTTCTGAGTTATGCCAAACCCAATGCAAAAGCCAGCTGTTGTGGGCCTACCAGCCCTATCCCACAGAATTAAACACTTTCCTTCTGTTTATTTCTGTGTGGTTGGGGAAAGTTAGGGTTAAAAATTACAGAAAGCACATGTTTGTACATGTACATGTAGTTCATACTCCTGTTATCATTTTGTATGTACTGTGGCTTTCAGATTATTAAGGTGAACCCCCCTGTCAAGAATTTCTAAGGAAGAAAATGTTGACATTAGAAATGCTGTACATGAGATGTACATCTACTGGTATATCTGGATGGATATAGGGTTGTACTTTGATATGGCACATTTTTACTCGTGTAGCAGACAGGAGTAAAAGCGTGCACTTGTTTGTTTTTTGCTTTATTTGAACAAATTTTTGCTGAACTTCGTGGCACAGTGCACACTTATATTTCTGTTCTCGGTGTTTCCTTTGGTGCAATCGTATTTCGGCTTATTAATTTTCTCATTGTAGTTTAACTTCGTCTCGTTGTTCCAGTTACTGTAATGAGTTTCAAGTTCCGTTTTGTTGTAGCAGTCTTTTTGGAGGCTGGCAATGAGATCGGTTGCTGCTGTTGTCGCCCGCCTCTCGCTGGAATTTACTACATTTGTAAGTGGGTCATTCCGTGAGGTCAGGGCACAATTTGTGACGGTGTCCTTGTTACACAATGTACATGGGTAACTTTTACCACCTGTCATCATGACCTGTAGAGTGGGTCATTTACATTCAAATAACACACACCTCTGTATTCAGCCTTGTAAGATGTACATGTATAACAGTGTAAATTTGGAATCCACATGCAGGAAAATAGCTGTTCATTTTTACGGAACCCAATTAACAGTGGACACCGTCACTTATTGTGCCCCAACTTCTTGCAATGACCCAAATGCAGTAGTTCCTCAATTCGTTTTAAATACACATATAGTCATTCAGAGACTTGGTTTTGATTCCGTGAATGTACTCATCCTTCAGTGACAGTATCAGAGGACAATTGATACTAACCATTAGGAGAAAGACCTCTCTAAAATAAGTTAGAGCAGGGTGTCTATCAGTTTTTTTCAGGACACAGTTTCGAAATGCATGTAGACCTTGTTCGCAGGGAAGCCATTTTTGACCGTGTTCCCTGACTCTATCTGATTCAATGTAGTCTGTGAAATGGGGTGGTGGCAGACTCTTTTGGGTTCTACACCTCCATGACCTCACTTTTATTCTTCTAAATGTGGCTTAGAACATTCAAATGTACATGTAATTAATCACATTTTTTTAGATTATTCATCAGCTTGAATGACATTAATTTGTAATTCATTACTTTATTTTCTCATTTTTATTCTCAGGATCCAAAAATGAAAGAGGTAACATCACTCTCCATTCAAGATGGCCCACTTGAGAATAAGGCCCATGTTTTGATATACAGTTTTCATACATTGAGCTGACTTGCATGGCGCTTGCCATGTTGACACTTTCGTCAACACGTCCTCAATTACTTTATGAGGACATTTTTGTTTATGACCGTTTGAGAGCCAGAGAGGCAGTCAGTGTGTATCTACATGTACATGTATTTAGTGTCAAGAACCATTGTAACCTTGGTCAAGGCATTCTTCATTAACCGCACTGCACTAGCAATTTACTCGTTTTCGGCATTGTTTTTCGTCTGCAGTGGAAAAATCAAGGCAAACAGAGACCTCATGTGACCAGCTTGATATGCATCAGGTGAACCTGGACATCATGTTCGCCTTGATGTTTCCACTACACAAGAAGCGTTACAGTGGCAATGGATAGCAACGCGTTGCTAGCTAGTGCAGCGCAGCTGATGACGAATGCCTTGTTCAAGGCTAGAACCATTCTAACCTGGCCAGAAACATGAAGCACAGGAAGCAGCAATAACTACTGTACATGTAGTTGTTTTTTATCAGTCAGTTGTGTTGATTGCCCATTAAAAGTAGTTTTTACTTTGTTTCCTCTAAATAAAAATAATTCAAGTAATTATTTGGAAAACGAATGGACCAATTCTGAATGCCTTCGTGGTGTTCGTTTTCATTTCTTTTTACTGATCAGATTTATTTCGGCAGTGGGTTCACATACTGTACCCCTGTACAGCTGTTTCTAGAGGCAGACAGGATTGAATAAGTCACCATTGCGGATTATCTGATACACCACTTGCCATTTATCCCGTTTTCATATGACGAAAATGTGATAAGAAGTACCATCAACTCGAAAAAGATGAACAGGTCCACATGAAACACTCTGGGAACTCCTCACATGCAGATAACCTCAACAAGAATAATAAAGCGCCAATCCATTACAAAGTAAATGCTCCTCGGCGCTTAAAACTAGAAAGCTTAAAAATTACAGCAATCACAAGGAAATTAAGAAAAATGGAGAATTAATGAAAGAAAACCAATATAAAATGTACACATTATTATATTAAAATTAGAAATTAAACCTTAAAATTTGATTGCACTGTAGACTATTATAAGCCATGCATGGATAAATAAGTTAAACTGCAAAAACACTGAGATACACTAAAATTACTGTGAGTTCCAAAGAATACTGATTAGTTTGAAAAGGCTCCACAATAAAGATACATTTTAAGACCAGACTTAAAACTAGCAAGTGAATCCACAGCTGAGAGAAGGGTCAAGCTCATTTTGCTATTAAGGACCAATTGCAGAGAAAGCTCAGTCACTAAAGGTACTCAGTCAAATGTTGATACGTTGCAATCTTATCAGACGGGGCTCAAGTCAGCCGACGCGGCCACAGATTCGGAGACAGCTAACACATCTCGCATGTATTCTTGGGCCAGACCACTGATGCATTTAAAAATTATGAGACACACTTTGTAAATAATTCTGAATTTGACAGGCAGCCAATGCAGCTCTATGAGAGCAGGAGTTATATGATCAAATTTTCTAGAGCCAATAAGCATTCTAGCTGCACAGCCCTTATCTACAATGTAGGTGTGTCTGCCACCTTTGATGTAAGACTAAGAGCATTTTCAAAACAAGTGGAATCGGTTTAGACTTCACTGTCGCTGGTTCCAGTCAGAGCTTGAACATGATTCAAATGCTGCTTCAAAATGGCTGGAACCAGCAAAACCAAAGTCTCTAGCCGAATCCACTTGCTTCGAAAACTCTGTATGTCTCAAGACGGTCATTCTTGGTTGTGGCTGGGGCTTCTCACCGCAGTGACCCAATTGAAATGACTGAAGTGTTATAGCCATAAAGTGCTCGATCCTGAAACGGCAGACCCCAATAGATTGTCCATGTGACGTACAGACTTGAGATCACTTACACATTACCTAGTGTAGTTAACTTTGTGCGTGGTAAACTTTAAAAAATCTGCTCATTGTGTAAGAACATTTCTGTGCAGTAAGGCCCGGTATCATTTGAAAGAAAATAATAAGCTCGGAGCTTAAAGAAACTATGCACATGTATATGGAATATTTACTCAAAACTTTTTTAAATACAATATATACAAATATTTTAACACATGCTTTACAATATTTATTCGAGAACCAGGTAGAAGTAATAAAAATGGGTCAATTTATTTAAGAATATCCAGGAATGGTACAACCATGCCGAATTTCCTTTCCAAAAACTGAGTGTGCTTCCGGCTGTTCTTATAGCACAGAATATTAAAGAGAGAATTTACAATTAAATGAGGCAAATAACTCATGCAATAGGCCACTTACAATACAATGTAGCTTAGACAGACACTTTAACATCATAACACTTATAGTTTCACAACCATTTCACTTTACATGACTGATGGAAACCTCGTGACAGGATTTTCTTGAGGAATCAAAACTGAAATGAACTGTTCAGTGTGTGGTGGTGACCCAAAGGTACAATGGCTCGTGTGTTTGGGGTTTTTTGTAAACCAGTTTCGAAATACCAATAAGTTTGTCTCTGCATTTCTGGAGGTGCAGCAAAGTGGCAGATGTTTGTTTCTTGAGCTTTACAAACACTGCATCTCCAGCATTAACTCGCATTTCTTTTAAAATTGGCAAGAATTAACGACAATTGATTGCAATGGAGTTGTATTTTAGCTCTATGCATTGAATTATCATATTTTAAAGGCCATGCCAACTGCTGAGGTCGCTGAGCCGTTGGGCATAACAAATTTGAGTATTAAACAGAAAGATGAACAAATGACAGCCTCCTTTGTTCAATCACGCCGTAGGTGCATGGTCAGAAACTGCTATGTGGTCAGAAAGCCGTTGAAGACGAGAAAAGGTTTCAGTTAGTAATAGGTGTCGCGATAGCTACTGTCCGAGGCCAGAGAAGACCGCCTGACTGGACTGCCCCTGGAGCTCGGGCCGATCTGCCCAGTCTCAAACTGCTTGACGAGCCTCACCACGATTCTCCGCACGCCCCTCCTGACCATCTGCGGCGTCAGCGGCCTCTGTCTCGGCTCCTCGGGGTCCTCCAGGTCCAGGGAGGGCACCTGCGCCGGCGCCGTCGACGGGGCAGGAGGGGGAGGTGGCTGGGGAGGTGGCTGGGGAGGTGGCTGGGGAGGCGGTGGGGTAGGCGGCGGCGTGGGCGGCGGAGGCGGCAGCCTAGACACGGTGTCGGCAAGGGAGGTCTGGAAATCCAAGGTGTGGTGCAGGTTGTAGATGAGGTTGGAGCTGATGTCCTCGGCTCTATCAAAGATGGCCGGCACATGGTTAGACTTGCCCTGAATGTGGAAACATTCATTGGAGGCAGCCACCAGCTCATCATGCACGTTACAGAGTCTCAGGAACGTATCGTACCTAAAATAAAACACAACTAAAAACCTCACTTTGTATAGGCCTTTATCTTCATGGAACAGAAGCTGAAAATATACACAATGTAGTTAGAAAAACCCTAATGTACACAGTTCATTGAAATTTTAAGAAGCCCAAGATAACCCTATATACATGTACCAAATGGCCTTTAGTTTTTCCTGGCCGATGGTAGCCCCCCTCCCTCCGTGGTGCTCTGATAACATTATGGCAAAGTCTGAATGGATTCGCCTGTACATCCCCCAACAAAGAGCACAGCTCATTCAAGTATAAACCCAATCCCCATAAACTGACTTTTTTCCTGCTAGCGTTAGTAAACCTAGTTCTGAATTTAGAGCATGGGGAGCAACTGGTCCGATGGGGATCTTGGAGGTAACTGTTAATTGCAAACTTCCTCTAGGGAATTCAACACGCCAGCTACAGCGGTTTTTCTTTTCCAGACAACTTTTTACCTCAGAGCGATGAGGTCATTTTTGAGGTTGCGAAGGTCTATCTTCGAAACTTCAGCTGTGGAACTGCAGGCGCCAGCAGTCTTCTCTGTCACATAGCGGTCGAGAAGAAGGGCAATCACCCGCTGGAACATGGATGACAAATAAAGGGATATCAGTAAATTATCTCTCTAGAGACAAAAGAGTGAAAACCTCTGACTCAAAAAAAGAATAAGACTTGTATAAATCTACTCCAGAATGGTGAAAACCACTCCAAAAAGGTGGACATCACTCAAAAAAGGAGCCATATAAAGAACAACTTTTTTGGAGTTGTGTTTTATTTGTCTCCTTAGTAGAGTTGAAATGTCACTCTTTTGGAGTGGACACGTCACTCTTTTGGAGTGGACACGTCACTCTTTTGGAGTGGACATGTCACTCTTTTGGAGTGGACATGTCACTCTTTTGGAGGGGAAATGTCACTCTTTTTGCAGAGTGAGTTTTTTTACTCTTTTGCCTTTAGAGAGTGCACCTTTAAAGGTAATTTGCACAGGGTGACCCTTACATGCCCCTTAACCCTAACAATCTTGAATCCTCCAATTTTAATATGATTTTGTACACACCCTAGGGAGTCAGGGTTAGTTTTAAGAAGAGCCTTGCATATCGCTTATTAGTTTGCTGCTTATACCCATAACAGACCATATATTGTCAGATTGCACTGGTTGCCGGCCTGGAGTACTTGTAACAAGAGTAATGAGCCCCAAGCTGCACCAAGAGAGGGCGCAAGTTTGCTGGCAACAGAGGCTGCTTTGGTAGGAAGTGCACTTTGCTGGTCCACAAATGACTACAAAATGCATGCCCCATGGTCACATCACTTTCAGCCACGCTACAGTTCCATTACATAGGACGCGCAAAGTTTAATGTTTCTCTGCGCATACATACAAAACATCAACATCGTCGCTTGGCAGTGGGGCCATCGTGTTTTTCACATCTCTGTCACTGTTATCAATGAGGGGATATACCAGGTTTACAAAAACTGTATTCCAGTTACCATGTTACTGAAAAGAGATAATGGCGCCGTAGCGCCGAAGTGACTATGTCACGTGCGTAATTACGCGAATAAAAGGCATTAGAGCAAGAACCAGCACATGAACAAACACGGGTCCGTTCATTTACACCGCACTTTCTGTTTCACAGTGACGTCACACTTTGGTACTCAACGAGGCCATGTTTGAATAAGGCCATTTGCGCTTACACTGTAGTTAACCTGCTCCCCGAGCTGTTTGCTCATCTTCTTGCTTCCGTCAATCTGCAGCATGAGTAAAAGACAGTTTCTTTGATGTGAGTAACCAAGAGTTACCTCCTTTCCAACGACAAGAACTTTTGGCTTTTCATCCGTGCTCGTAGGCTTCCTTGCTTGTATCTTATTATCGTTCAGCCAATGTAAAATGTCAAAAACAGTTCACATCGGTAATTTGCTTGCTCCCTGATCTCTTAAAGATGAAAATACAAATAAGATAAAAAGAGAGTACACTATCTCACCAATTACAAACTAAATTAAAAAGAAGCATAGCTAAAGACTCATTATATGCACGCACTGCAGAAGGATAAAAAGTTCCAGCAAAATGTTTGCTACCATAAAAGAAAAGTAATCTGGTGCTGGAAGAAATTCATCATTCAGTATCTGCTCCGAGTGGAACAAAAAAGGGCAGTTTTTTTGGGGGGTACCCACTGCATAGGCGCGCCATTAGGCGCGCAAGTATATGCGCGTTTGATGCGGAGCACGCTGAGTACGCATAGCTAATTTACTCTGGCATATACGGTCTTTGCGTACACGCAGAACGCGTGCAAGAACCCGCTTGTAATCAGCCGTCTTTCTTTCGCCGATTGGGGGTGCACTTCAGCTCGGGTAAACCCAGCAAGAAATGAGACCGAGGGGTACCCCCCAACGTGTCCAATGC